GGGGGGAAGGAGGGGAAGAGGACTGGATGGGCCCGAGTGAGAAGACCTTACCAGCCTCCGTCGTTGCCTGGGACCGCCGAGGAATGGGATCCCGTCGCCATCGCCGTCTAGAGACGAGGACGTTTTCACGCATCTGCCCTTTCTCCGCACTCCCCGCCAAGGAATGGGATCCCGTCGCCATCGCCGTCGCTCATAGGACCCACCGAATTTGTGGCTATGGCACAGGACAGATCTCCCTTCGAACGAGCTTTTGACAGCCGGCAGCTTGAGACCGCTCGACTGCATCAGACCGTACGGCTGTCGATCGTTTCCACGATGACGATCATCTCGGTTGGTGACCAGAAGCCCAGAGACTCTTCCATCCCAGCCGCCAGGATCAAGAACAAGGCATATGCGATTGCCACGTGGCAGGATTGCACGCGTTGTTCCTTCACACCAGCCGTCAGCTTTTCCATCACGATCATCACGATGACCATGCTTCGTTTTGTCTTCTTCTCCGCATCGTCCATATCGAAGAAGAAACGAGTGCTGGCCATGGATTGCTCGATGGTCGTTGATCGACGTCCTATCTATGGTGGTCAGTCCTCGTTCCTTCGTCGTGCCAACCCTCGGACTCCCACCAGTTCGACTGGACCCCGAGATGGTTCCACTTCGGGACTCTATCTGTGATCTGATTCTACTCCTTGCACAAGAAGGGCCCCCTACCCCTCCTCCTCCCCTTGCTCCTCCTCCCCCTCCTCCTCCTCCTCCTCCGTTGCCACAGATACGAAGTGCCAAGCTATCAGTGGCGCCGTCATCCAACGTCCGTACCGCTGCGGCACGCACTGCGCGCCGATTGCCGAGCACCTTCGTTTCGAGCTCTTCCTGGCGGCCAGCTAGACGAGCAACAGACACGTGTCCAGTGGCTCGACACGTGGCCGCGCATCCGGTTGCCATCAGCCAAGATTAATGATATCCACTAGATTTTTCAAGATAAAGATATATATATCCGGGGCCTCGCTGCACTACTCTGCAAATGTGCAAACTGAGACTGAATCTTCTGGTAGAACACGGATAGATACATTGCCGTCTTTTTTTGTCTTTTCCCCACGGTCTCGCCCCGCTACTCTAGACTTTCGAAATTTCAAGCGTCCAACATGGCTCCACTTATTACTCTCGAACTGGGGCCTCGAAAACCCCTTCGTGCGCGTTCAGAAGGGCTCGAAATTCCAGGAGTCCACCATGGCTCCACTTACTCTCGAACTGCGGCCCCGAAAACCCCTTCGTGTGCATTCAGAAGGGGCTCTTGAAATTTGGAGAGTCCGCCATCGCTCCATTTCTCTTTTCTTTTTTTTTTCTTTTTTTTTTAATTCAAAACCCCATTATTATAATTTGCGAGAAAATGTTGACGATCCAGCGGCCTAGCTCAGTTGGTAAGGCACGCAAGTGGCATTCAGGAGGTCTTGGGTTCAATCCCCATTGGCCTCATGTACCTTCCTGGGCAAGCTTGGTGCCCGCCACCTAGAGATATGCCCTTGGTCCCCCCGAGTGGCATCTAGCAGAAACTGCTGATGTTCATAGGGGAAGGGGACCGGAGGGGAGGCACAGTGATTGGCCCATCGAAGAAGCTCGGTCCTGATGCTATCGGCTGACCCCTGGCCGGTATCGCCCACGTCCACCTGTTGTAGCAGGTATCGCACCTGCTGGTGGGCGCAGCTCCCGCATGTTCCCTCATTGGAGGCTTGAGCACGGATGTGGCTGCTACGGGGTTCCCTGTAATAATATAATGACAATAAAAAAATTGAATTGGTTGGGCTTAAAGAATTATCCTTTAAAAAAAAAAAAAAAAAAAAAAATGTTGACGAGGCCGGGGTCCTTGCAATTCAACCCGGTGTCATACCAGACCTGAGTCTAGGGCCAGAGCAACCTGGCTTACAACAATGTAGCATGGACTATATGAATCCTACTGTCCGGCCAGACCAACCTGCCCCTATTACGTAAAAAGCAACAGAAGTAAATGAAACCAAAACACATCTAAAAACTAAAGGGAATGACCACTCCTGGGAATTCGGCCTGCAGTTAACTCTATTACGAGTTCTCTGGCCTACAGATATGATTCCAAAGTCCTCTGAACCACCGAGTGACCAGGTGGGCTCTTCCCTGGACTCTGACACCCACACTCATCCCTCGAACTCTGGTAGTCCACCCATTTATGACTAGGGTGGGAGGGATCTACTCCTCCTGCTGCTAGGCTTCATCCGGCGTCCGCCTCCCGTTCAATCCGATAAGCCAGCTTGACAGTACCAGTTTCCCGGTCGCTGCTGAGACAGCCGCCAATCTGTTCTTCTTAGCCCAAGATCGCAAGAACCACAGTCTTGCCCTATCCTGTTCTGGGCCTGTTCTGGTAAGTACTTTCTTCCGCCAATCCAATGTGATCATCTGACGAACTGTGGATTTCATGCCACTTTTCAGGGCTACATCTGAAATATACCTCTTTTGGAACAGAACAGAATTATGTTCTTTCCATATCCACCGTATGGCCACTGCGCGAATCGCCACTGCTACGTAACCCCAACCTCTGTTGTATGCCAGGGAGGGAGGCAAACATCCCGTTACTGCCCACTCCAGGTCCCACTTCACTGCATCTGGACCTCCCATCTCTTTCCAATGGTAAGCCCACCACTTCCAGATGCGCAGTGAAAGAGGGCATGTGCCCCACAAATGTACAAAGTTCTCTGGCTGGCAGTGGCATCTTACACATCGTACTTCCACCTCCAGCCCTCTAATGAACAGTGATTCACCATCCAGCGGAGTGACGTGAACTATAAGCCACAGCACCGAGGCACACCGTTTGCTTGGCAACCGCCTGCTTACCTTCCACATTTCCTTGTAATATTCTACCGAAAGCTCAGTGCCAATTGTGGAATGAGGGTGGGCTTCTTGAATTTTAACGGTTGAGCTTCCTCCCTGCCTCTGTATTCCCATTCCCAATTTGGACGTGTATTGATGTATCTCCGGTTTCCCTCTGCATCTTGGCCAGCCGTACCTGCAGATATCTAAGCGCATACAGCGGATGGGTACTCCGTCCATAAGGATCACCAGCTGAACCATTCCCCTGACGGCGAAGCGAAGGAGTACCCTCACTTCTTCCACCAAACATACTCCTCCACCCACTCTTTCTTCCTTGAAGACCAGTTCACTACTGATCCGTCCATTCTTGATTTGCCTTTCCCACACCTCCAACTTGTCCTCTCCTACTCGTTTGAGCACTTGCAGATCTCTCCCGATGCTTAAGCAATGACGGTACCACCGCCCAATCGGGTGTGTGCCCTCCAGGAGTTTTTTCCAATCTTCAGGAATTGCTTGAATCAGCTCGTCCCGTCTGGCTTGTACATGCCACAGTCTTCCCAGTTTAGCTCTCAGTGATTCCACAGTTCTCCATCCAGGCAGCTGATCATCCCATATGTCTTCCACACGCAGTACACCCCTTTCAATCCAGGCCCTCCCAAAGTTCCCCTTGCCCGAGATTGCGAATGATGACCCGTCTTGTCTTTTGATCCACTGACTTTCGAAAATGGGCTCTCTCAGTACCTCATCTCGGGTCTGGGGTTCTCTCAGCGGTCCTGGGCCAAGAGACTTCCAGGCTTGAAGGACCCCATGCCAAAATTGTGACTTCATCCGCCTCCGCTGGTATAGTTGCATTGTCAGCAGCAGCCACGCGTCCTCCCCCCTGCTTAGGTCTCATTCCTTTGCAATTATATACTCGGCAAGGGCAACCCAACTTCAATCCTCTGTATCCAATGCTGCTTTTACCGGCCATTTGCTTAGTAGTGTCGAATTCTGGTGTTGAGGGTCCAGTAGTACCAGGCCGCCTTCCTCCTTTGTTGCCGTGAGTTTCTCCCACGCTAGTTTGAACATATGGCATTGATTTGCCTCCGCGTTTGGCTTCCAGATATATTTAGAGGCTATCACTCTAATGTTCTTTGCTGTTTTCCTCCCCATTCGTCTCACTGCCCCCACATACCAGAGCTGAGAGAACACTGAGGCGTTCAAAACCAGAACTCTGCCAAACAGCGACAATCCTTGTGTCGTCTTCCATTTTTGAATTCGGTGTTCAACTCGCTCCAGTAGCTGCTTGTCTTGTATCTCTACACAGTTCTGGAGAGAAACTTGCACGCCCAAAAATCTTTCTGATGCATCAGCAGGAACTTTTTTCATTCCCAAATCCATACAAATCACAAACTGATCGGGTAAGAAATATACCGACTTTACCCAATTTACTTGAGCCTCGCATAGCTCACAATAACCTACTAACATACTTTTGACTGCCATAAGGGACTCTACTGTGTTCCTAGAGACAATTGTCAAATCGTCCGCCAAGGCACTACCTTTGAATTGGGACAGTCCGCGAGTGCGCAGTCCGATGATATAGGGGTTGTGTCTCACGTTATTAAGTAGCACATCCATCTGCATAACAAAGAGCAAAGGTGCTAATGGGCATCCTTGCCGAAGCGAGCGGGTCAATGGGAAGGATGAAAATATTCTCTCATTTATCATCACAGAGGTTGTGGCATGAAAGTACATGGCTTTTACCCATGTACAATAGTTCGGGTCAATGCCCATGTGTCTCATCGTGGTCAGAACAAATGGTCATCTGACCCTGTCGTAGGCCTTCTCCTAATCAAGGAGGAGGACAACTATGTCTAATTGCTCTTCAGCTATGATTTCCATAGACTCAATCACTGTGACAATGTTGTCCAGGATTGCAACCAGACTTGGCAAGTAGTCTGCAAGCCTGATGGCTAGAGCTTTTGCTAGCAATTTGTACATTGTGTTCAACAGGGATATTGAGCGTCAGTTACGAATGTTACTCTTATAACCTTTTTTGAACAACAATGCAATAATCTCTTTTGTCATGCAGGATGGCAGATCTATTCCGACCAGAACCTCGTTATAAATCAGGACTAGCTCCTCACAAAACATGTTTCAACAACAGAGAAAAAAATTGATAAGGAGGTCGTCTTCTCCTGGTGTCTTACCTTTTGCCATTTGGCGGGCGGGGTAAGTCAGTTTCTCTTTAGTGATTGGTTTGTCCAACGCTGTCGTGCCTTCTGACAAAATTCTAGTGTGGGTGTTGACCCATAAATATAATATTGTTTTAAGGTCCAGATCTGCCTCTTCGGGTGGCCTGCGTGACGTCAAGATATCCCGGAGTGGTAGGTCGCGACATACTCGCACATCCCTACTGTTTCTGTCGTCTTGCGGAGATTGGGATCAAAGACGTGGCCTAGCTCTTTCATAATCCGATGCTGAGGGGTTTTGTGGTCAACCAAGGCAAAGGTTTCCTTAGTCATAAAGTCTAATTTCTCCATCCCCTTCACCTTGCAAAGTTTTTGCCATCTTTTCTGTTTGGCAATTTGGATTCCTTCCCACTTAAGCAACCAACGGATCCTTTCCTTAGACCAGTAAGCATTGGACACCGGATGTTCCCCCATGGTCGCTTCTGTCTCTTCGATTTTCCGTTTACAGACTCGTTCTTCCTCATTCCTGGTGTAGGCTTTGATGATAGATAACACAGACAGTCCTTTGGAGATAATCTGTAGCCCTGTTGTAAGTCATTCCCCTCTAGAAGGGAATAGACTTTTGGTGGTCTGCCAAGCGTTATTTTGGTGCTGCACCCATTGCATAATCCCAGGATCAATTAGATTCTCCGTGTTCAGTATGAAATAACCATGCTATTTGTCTACACACAGACCAGGGGCAAATCGAGCTAGTATCGGGTAGTGATCCGACATAGGGGCAACCACCGTATTAACAGACAACAACGAATCCCATGCAGTTGCCCTTACAAAAATCATGTTCAGTCTCCGTTGTCTGCCCGTTGGTACAGATGTTAGTTGGCCCCGGCTAACCGGGTGTCAAGTAAATCCGTACTCGTTTGGGTGAGTTACCCGATATGCATCTATCAAGCCCAGTCTCTCAGGCAGTGCCATCACGATTTTTGCATCTAATCTGATCGGTCTGACATGTGGTGAGTCGATGCCTGGGTTTAGCACTGTATTCCCGTTGCCGGCAAGCACCTGGTTGTCCACATCTGGAATGGAGTC